CGCACCCCTGGGGTACCCCTGTGCTGGTTGCTGATGGTGAGAGACTTCCCTGAGTTCACTCATACATACTGTTCCCAAAAAGGAAATTGTATATCAACTGAGTAAGTGTATGATGTACACCCATCTCCAAAATCTACCCTACTCTGTCTCGAGAGATCAGAGCGATTAAGAATTCCAACGTATGTGTACATATGGCAATTAACTACTCTGCTCTACTCTATTACATCAGACTGGTCAGTAATCCTCACAGTCATCTTCCAATCTGTACAATCAAACCAGGCTTGCAAAGCTTAAACTCTTTCATCATCCCACGCATGCACAACTTTGTCTTGGGCTTCACTATTTCTAAACTCTGTCAGTGCAACAGATCAATTAGACCTGATCATCCTGTCAGTGGTTTGATAAGAGCTTTATAGCCATTCAGCCATTGTTTCCATAACAGAGATCTAATGTTCTAAAACCTCTTGTCTATTTTTTTATATATTGAGAATGAATAGGGAGAACTGACTTAAGCAACCCGCCATTAAAATCTCCCCAAATTTGGGGGCATCTGGTGATATTAACTCAAGGTCTTGAATATAATTATAAAGTATTTCTGAGGTAGTTTTATAACTGGCATCAGAAGAAATATACACAAGAGTTACAACAACCAATCCAAACTCCCATGGTAGGTAGGTCTTAAAGAAACAGATAGGAGTTCCAGATCTGGTGATTTAAAGGCATGTTGGTTTGGAATTTTGCCTTTAACTTTCTTCTACTATCTGTATGTCTCTTGCTTATTGCTTTACCTTCTTCTTTTTTTCTACTTCTCCCTTCTTCCATTGCCCTCTCTTTGTTTTGCTATGGTTTAGCTTAATACCAAGTCTTTGTTTTTCCTTTGTCTTACAACAAGTTCTCTACATATTTTTCCAAATGGGAAATCACATTCTCACCTCATACAGTCAGATGCAGTTTGTGTGCAGCTTGACTGAAGTTTCTACTCTCTGTCATCTCTGGGTTCAAATTTATATGGCCTGCAGGTAAGAGTGCACCTTTGTCTTGTTCCACTACTGACATCATGGTGGTGCTCCATGTTGCAGTACCTCTGTTCTGCCATCTAAAAGTGGTCAAAAGTCTCAGTGAAATCTATGACACTCTTCCTAATATACCTCCAATTCAGTACTTTGCCTCTAGTGGCATCACAAAAATGATAAAAACAGACGTTCATAGTTCAGAACAAAGTGATGTGAAACTAACCATCAAAAGTTTACTTTCCACAAACATTTTACATGAGCATCCACACATTCTACCAGTGAAGCAGATGGACAGAGTGATAGCTAGAGAATCCAGTTCATATCCAAACCCTGCTAGAGAAGGACAGTGGCACACATGATCATGACAGAGACAGGAAAACATAAGGGAAGAACTGTTATTTTAAAAAGTGCTTTACTTTGTG